GATAAATCATTAAGAAAAGGAAAAACCCTGCATATGGTATGTGAACTCAGTGGTTTCACGAAACAGGCATCATGAACAATCCGTAATTAATCATAACGAAGCAGAGAGGAAGTATAATAAGTCACAATAAATACTGTTTGGCCATGGGTCAATTATATGCTAAATCTACAGTGAAAGTTGACTTACCATCTTTCTGGTCTGGTCCGGTCTCAATAGCACTTTGATCCAACTCCGGTGCAAGGAACAATTTCCCAATGCGTCGGAAAGAGACAAACGACTTGAAGTATGATTAGAGAAAATGAATGATATATAAGTAGTAGTAGAGGAGCAAATTATTCAAAACGGATGTCAAAATGCTGATCACAAATTAACTAATTTGAACGAAAACAGTCAAATGAAATCCAAATGTACTCACCATGACAATGACAGACAAACTCCACGGCAATGCGACTAGAGGTTCTCGAAGCAAATTGAACAGGCTAACACTGACGAAAATTCGTTCAGCATTTAAGAAACTCGGTCGATTCGGAATCGCCTCAGTCCCGTTTATGGGAAACGGTGCAGAACTGGCGAACAGAATATTCCGGGTGTAAACTGCGAATGTACTAGCCAAGATGGCAAACGGTGTCATGTTCCAAAATAGTTGAGCACCACCCCAGCACACAGTCACACGAAGCAGATTACGAAGTTCGGTTTTACGAATTTTGGTCACTTGTGAAGCGAATGCATACTCCCATGCATACAGTTTGATGATCTGGGGCGAGGAAGGACAAATGCGTAGAAACAAGGACCGAAGAGAATTATTCCATGTCAAGTTAAACTATGTCTTATGCACTATAAGGGTGAATTTTCAAGGGTTTCACGAGGTTACAGTGGAATTGAAAAAAGACGCAAGAGAATAAAGGGTGTACACGACAGAGCACTGCGAGCAAGAAGACGATAGTCATAGGTTAATAATAAATAAATAATTTAACTCATGAGATATTGCAACAGGTCGGTAATAATTAGTGTCTGGTTCATTAGAAAGCGGGTAAGGTACAAGAAGATACGATTCTCTATGTGGGAGTGGGTGCCGGCAGGAAGCAGCTTATAATAGACGTGGGTACGGGTATGTGACATGAATGAATCAAGTTCGTTGCGTAGGCAGTGATTCCCATTATTCAATATTCTATCAGGTATCCTTAAATATGAACATTAAGCAAAAATCAACTGGAATAACACATTCAATTTCATGTTTTTTTTTCAATCAAAATGGGATGTACGAGCACTTTGTTACATTGAAATCCAAGTCTTGGTTAATACCAGGACAAATTGGTGTGATCCCAGGCGTTAGACCACCTGATATGGAGTGCGCAGATGACATTATTTTATGGAATACTGTCTGTATGTGTCTTGCACCCCCATAGTATTCAATGAATAGACAGAACTGCGTTTTGATTCACTTTATCATGGGAGGCACTGGAGAAACCAAACAAATCCGATCAGTTGGGCGGATAAGTCACCCCCTCCCCAGGGAACACAGCATGGATGCTGTTACGGCACACATTCAGAAGGCTCGCTAGATGTTCGCTAATCTGATAAATCTGTCACCGTCAACACATTCATCTATCAATTAATCGTTCACTATGCGCTGCATCAGTCCGGTGGATGCTGTGACAGTGAAAACATCTGGCCGTTACAGAAACGGAGTAAAGATTAAACAGTTTAAATGATCGATGTCAACCGTCCGAGCAACTACTTGACCTTCATAGATAAAGATGTCTGAGGCACGTATTGTGCAGTGGGGTGCGGAGAGGTAAGAGGTAATAAGTAAGTAAGATCTTGGTTGGAGTTAAACAGGCTCTGAATAGGGGCTCGGTCATGCAGGTTGTGTTACGCTCCACAAGTGGGAACCTCGGCATCAGTTTAGTCGCTGGTTATGGAGTCCAACTCATCCGCAGGCGTAGCTAATTTGTGTTCGGTATCTGTACACCAAACCCGTTTCCAGCTTTCTAATCCTTCGATCGATTCTTGTCGAAAACGAAACAAACAAAAGCCCAGCACGAAAATACAAGGTTAGTGTGCGTTTTGCACCTTCAAAGTGTGAAATGTTACTACAAAATTGGGTTAGTCCAGCATCCAGTCTAACCATGACTGGGGAAGTAGTAGAGGAAGTACACAAATTTTGCCATTTGGGCAGCTACATCTCACCTGGTGGACGCATCACAGATGAAGTGTCGGTGCGTATACGAAAGGTTCAGTTGGCATTTGCCAAACTGAGACATTTGTGGCGCCATCGCGACATCCGGCTGTCTGTAAAGCGTCGAGTATATGCTGTAGTATTTCGGCCAGAACTGCTCTGCAGTGCAAAGACTTGACTACTACGGGAACAGGATAAAAATAGACTGTCGGTGTCCGAGCACCACTGAGGACAACGCATTGCACGAGTCTGATGTGTGGTAACTGGACGGGCAATACTGAGGTTAGGCGTAGAGTTTTAGGCAGTCGCGGCCATCCACTGGAGCTAGTCGACCTCCATAGATTACGTTCGTTGGGGCATGTGTTACGCATGTCATCCTATAGGTTGTCACGTTCAGCGATGTTTGCCGAGGCAGGAATCGGTTGCAAAAAGGTTAAGGATGGTCAAACGAAGACCTGGCATGAGAATATGAAAACCCTAACCAGGAGACTGGGTCACATAGGCCCCGTTAGGCTCCCTGACTGGGGACCTCCGGATGATGGTCACTGATGGTTAGAGACACTGAGTGATACGGCTAGGTGTCGCAAACAGTGGCGGTCGTGCATCCACTCATTATTCCCGTAAAACCATTCTATATGAATCCTCCATCTTTCGCTTGAATTTGTTTTTTTACAATCCTATTCTGCTGTTATTCAAATAGGGTACCAAAAAAAGCAACCAAAACCGGCGCACGAAAGTGCATGGTTAATGGTTGTAAAAACTGAAACTGAAAAACTTAAGGACAAGTCGAACAGCGAACAAAAAGAAAATAACCTTACTAATTTCAGAATTTGCTCACCTTAATTGCAGCAAAGATTTCGCTAAGACATTTCATCCTCAAGTCCTTTCGTTTCATTAATTCCTCCTGGAAAAGGTGCACATGCAACAAAGATACAGTGATTCAAGCAAGACGTTCACTGATGAACAAACTGGTACAAACACAAATAGTCAGCAAGCTTCCATTGTCGCCAACAATTTTGTCGAAAAATATGAAGCTAACTTAAAGCGTCACTTTACTATCTTTCCTACTCGATGAGGGAGAGTATTGAACCACATAAGCTATAGAGAACGTGTATCTGCGCACTAACGGCACAGATCTAGTCCACCGACAATGTGTAAGTTAATCTAAGTATCGCTCGCAGAAACTATTCGTCCATTGAAAGAGCGAGAACATGAGTAGCCGAAAGACATCAACTGAAATCAGCACACAGAAGTGCAAGGTATACGGTTATGGAAACCGAAAATGGAAATCCGTAATTTTTACTTTTGCCGGTTCCTCTCCTATGACGTATGAAGCATTATTTGGAACATTCGAGAACTACTGATGAGTTTATTTGATTTGCTTCATAAGGGGGGAGGGGGCGAGAAGAGAGTAAAACACATCTCAAAATCAGTCAGAATTGAAATCTTGGCTGACTTCATTATCCCATAAAACATTCTGTGACAGTCCATTTGTGCGAAGCGGTAGATCGCGTGGCTTTCGAGGATTTTTTCTTTTGATAACTTCCGTTTGAGGCATAAATCCTACACGACAGCAGACCCAAACTCTTGGAATCTCGGTATCATTCATGTTTCATGCATCATTCATCTCCGCATTCATTTTAACAGTTGAAATGGACTCAGTTTGATTACCTTTGGTTTTATCGTCAGCTTAGTAAGGTTCATCAATACTTCATAGCATTTCATTGAGCTTTAATCCAACCAACGTCTGGAAGCTGGTAACAAAAAGAACCAGTTCCAAAGCCTTTTGTTCTTCATACTTTATCCAACCCAAAAATACTTCGAATGATTTGGTTCCACATTTCACCTTAGAACTGAAACATGCTTTCATTCCGTCTTGCCGTTCAGTTAAACCTGCCATATCTGCTATCTGCCTTGAATATGCTAATAGCCATGAGCCTAAGTTTGATTGTATCCCCTGAAACTGCAATATTTGACTAACAGAGCGATCGTCGAGGTCGTCCAAGATTACTGGTTGAGGTAAAATTTTACAAATTAAGCTTATCAATAGTGAGTATCTATTATTCCTTTCACTACAACTTTCACTTCTAGTTTCGTTGTCTCAGTTGTCCTTAAAGCACCCACATATGTACAAAATGTAGGATTAATGTTCTTACTCCAGCTTGATCACATGGAAATACAACCGTATCATAGCACATAATATCATGTCCGAGACACAACAAGTGAGCTTGGACCGGTCAAAGACTAGTCTTAACATGTTCCTCAGGATTACTGGCTACCCCGTTATATCTTTATTAAAATGAGGCTTTCCCCTCTTCACATTGGTTTTTACACAATGCTGTTTACAATGGCTGACGCCTCAACTATCCGCAAATTACTGCCCAACCGTTTAATTATTATCGTAGTACCATCGATCACCCTTTCATGTTCGTCCGTTAGACACGAAAATAACAGGTCGATGTGTTTATAATCAAACCATTCACAGGTTATAGCGCTTTTTACTAAGTTATTTGACCCATTCTCAATGTCTGACAGACCGATTCTAAAACAATCAAATTCGTCGAGTATAATCATATCACAAATTTCACTAACAGGTTTATTCACTCAACTCCTTGTGGTAAAAGACCTGTTTGGAAAACTGCTGATAACCTATTCTAAACCTAAAGGCGTGGAGGACACAAAGGATGAATGTAAACCACTAACTACTTTTACTGGCGGTATAAATCAGTGGCTTATTTATCCGATCGTATCTCAAAACTACGTCAGAACAGAAAAAGGTAAGCGAAATATGGTAGAAAATTAGTTATAAGTTCTGAAGCACGGAAGAAATACTTACAATGGACGTTGCGTGCACTTAATTTGAGTTCATTGTGCGATACGTAAATCATGAATATATACACAATCAGCATAATAAGGAATAAACCAATGGGTATAAGCGTAATTGTCTTGACAAACACACATGACGGAGCAAAACTGTTGGAACACAAAGCAATAGTGCCTGTCATGAGAAGAAAAGCCACGAGAAAGCCGACGAATTTGGAACTTGCGAACACCATAATTTAAACGACTGATACAAGTCAGATTCATGACCGGTTGTTACAGTATAGGTCGCAATCGACGGAGAAGAGTTTGTTCGGGTAGTTCTTATTGCGCCCTTCGATTGGCTGCTCTACCAATTCTCCCTCTCGGAATTATTTTGGTTCATGCTGAATACAACATAATGACTGCTCGGAAGATTTATTCACGGTTGCAGTTAATCACTCTCAAACATGATTTGCTCAACACTGTACCTTTTATGCCCTCGTTAGCCTCTTTTCAGCTTCCTGTTCAGATAAAGAAACGTAAGCGCAGTGGCTGATTGGCAACGCTTAGTCGCAAAATCATCAAGATGTCCGTCTGCTTTGGTCAGCAAGTACATCAGGTCGCTTTTCAAAGATGATGCATTTAACGTGCACCCTGGATTCCCATATCCACCGCAACACGTGTTTCATTTGTGTACAAGAATCCTGGCTTGGCCAAAACGTTAAAGACTAATAGTTGTTTCAAATGCT